AAAAGACGTCATACAGGCATAGCTAAGGGGGCCATTTCTAAACAGGCCCAAGATGTTGCTTCAACCTCCAAGGGGGTTACACATGCCAACAAGTTTGAGTGCCTAAATCCGACGCCGGTGGACACCTGTCGGGATATGGGTATGGAAGTAGAAGATATCAATGAAGGGCAGGACCTGGAAGCCCATTCTATACCTCCTGACGTTGTTCCGGGAGGCCGGGTCTAATTTCCTCGCCATTAGTTTTATGTGTCCTACGCCAGTCAATTCAACTAGACGTCCAATTTCGGTGGGCGATCAAAATCTGGATGACAGGTGTATGCAGGTGTTTAAAGATATCAGTGTGTTATTTTGGAATGTTCGTGGATTAGTCAACAAGTTCTCGCAGAGACAGTTGAAAGACCTTCTTTTTCTGTACAGACCGACTTTCTGCTTTGTTATGGAACCTCAATGCCTCTTCGAGAGGCATGCTGTTTGGTTGCATCACTGTGGATATGATCGTGTTGTTTTATCGGAAGAGATAGGTAGAAGTGGTGGCATTTGGCTTCTTCAGAAAATAGGCCACCCATATATGGTTTCTGTTCTTCACACCTCGACCCAGACCATATCTATCAGCATCGGGCGAGGTGGTTTTCAGTGGGCGCTTACGGGGATATATGCCTCGCCCTCTTTTTGAGAAAGGCTTAGTGACTAGGATAGCCTGAAGGTAGATCGAGTGACTTGTGAGGGACCATGGTGCGTCATAGGTGACTGGAACGAGGTTACTGGCCCATCCCAATCCACCGAATGCTCGTTCACACAACATCGAGCTGATATTCTTAATGACGTGCTGCAACATTGCGATTTGACGGTTATTCAGAGCATTGGTCCACCTTTTACTTGGAGGAGATCTTCCACGGGAGTTAATATCCATTCCCAGAAATGCCTGGACTACGCCGCAGCGGATACAAATTGGATTGGCATTTTTCCCTTCGAGATAGTGAAGACTTTAAATAGAGGGAATAGTGATCATAACCCTCTCATATTGCGATTCCATGTAAAACCAAACATCCAGGGGCTCCCTCAACCGCCATTTCGTTGGCATGAGGCATGGGCAGAACATCCCGACTATTTGAAGGTTCTTACTGACAATTGGCACCTGGGAAACGGAGATTTATTGCTCAACATGAATTCCGTCAGAGAAGCCTCAATTTCGTTCAATCGGACTTGTTTCGGTAATATTGGGGCTCGTAAGATCAAAATTTAAAGACGCTTGTTGGGCATCCAACGCATCCAAACTCGGGTCGACTCGGCGCACCTCGCACTCCTTGAGGGGCAACTTATTACGGAGTATAACACCATACTCCACCCGGAAGAGCTCATTTGGTTTTAGAAATCTCGGGAAAAAATTCTGCTGCACGGGGATCGCAACACTCGATTCTTCCAAACAGCTGCCAAAATCCAAAAAAATAAGTCGGCCATTCACGGACTCCAAATTAACAATGTCTAGAATTTTGATGAAGCAACCCTCAGAGGGCATGCCATTGCACATTTTGAGAGTCGGTTTTTAGGCAGTCTCATCACCCCCATTGGTTGCGAATTCACGGAGCCTCTTGCTCCTCCGGTTCCAGACATAGCGTTGTCGGTCACACAGACAGTTTCCAACATGGAAATCAAACAGGCGATCGATTCGTGCCCTTCTTACTCAGCCCCGGGACCAGATGGCTTCCCAGCGGCTTTTTACAAGAAATTCTGGCACCTCATTGGTCCAGAAACGTGTGAATTTATTCGCACTATCTTCGCGAATGGGCGCTTCACGTCTAGCCTCGGCTTCTCGTATCTTTTCCTGATTCCGAAGATTGCCACGCCGCTTACTATTAAAGATTACAGACCTATCAGCCTTTGCAACATCGTCTACAAGTTCGTGACTAAGGTTATTCTTTATCGGCTGAGACCAATCTTATTCGAATGCATAGGTTTGGAGCAATCTGCTTTTCTTCCCGGTAGAGGAACTTCCAACAATGCCATCGTTCTCCATGAGGTTCTTCACAAATTTAACCAACGACAGCGGGGATGTGAGTTCGCCATCAAAATTGACTTAGACAAGGCTTACGACCGGGTGAAGTGGAAATTCCTTCGTGACTCGTTAACACAACTGGGATTGGACGCACCCTCAGTCACTCTTATCATGGAGTGTGTGACATCCGCTCATTTCGCGATTCTTTGGAATGGCCGGCCGTCTTTGGACATTTACCCTTCCCGAGGTCTTCGCCAAGGGGATCCGATTTCTCCTTACTTGTTCGTCATCATAATGGACCGACAAACTAGAACCATCAACCGAGAGGTCAGTACGCGTAATTGGGATCCCATTGTGTTGTCTCGGGGAGGCCCGATGCTTAGCCATCTATTATTCGCTGATGATGTATTGATTATGGCCCAAGCTAATGTCGCTACGGCCAAAACTGTTAATAAAGTTCTTCATGCTTTTGTGGAGGAAGTGGGCCTTGCGATTAACTTGAGTAAGTCCAAAATCATTTTTTCAGCGTCGACCCCAGTAGCAAAGCGCAATCGGATATGCCATCAACTCTTTATTCCAACGACGGATGCTTTTGATAAATATTTGGGCTTTCCCATCATTGCTGGGAGGCGTAAGGTTTCTCATTTTGAATTCATCATAGAGCGCATCTCTCGGAGGCTTCCCCCGTGGTGCGCTAAATTCCTTAACAAGGCGGCCCGTACTACTCTAGCGCGCTCGGTTCTCTCCACTATTCCCTTTATTTTATGCAAATTGCATGGTTTCTGGAGAAAACTTGCCAACAAATTGATAGCATCATTAAGAGATTTATTTGGAAAGACCGCGGTGGACGAGGTTTACACCTAGTTAAATGGCAAACATTGGCTACGCCGCGTCGCTTGGGAGGCCTTGGTCTTCGTCAAACTCGGCAAATGAACATAGCTATGCTGGGGAAAAAAAGTCAGCGAATATATCGAAGGCACTCCATATCTTTGGGTTATAGATTTGTCTGACCAATTGGCAGGGGTTACGAGGGGATCAAAAGGTCCAAGTCCCAGTCCTCTTCTGTCTGGACAACATTGTGGAGATGCTTTTCCATCATTGCGAATGGTTTCACCTACAGGCTGTGTAACGGGGAGACCAATTTCTGGGAGGGAATTTATCTTCAAGGCAAACCCATCAAATGTCTTGTTGACTATGTTCATATATCGGACTCAGACAAATCATGTCGTCAGTTGATCGTTAATGGACGGTTTGATCTTCAGTCGTTGCACACGTCCTTCCCAGATCATATTATCAAGGCCCTGACGGATGCTAGGAATATTTATCTTCATCCTTCTGTGCCTGATAGGTGGTGTTGGTCGGTTGGTAGTAGTGGTAAATATTCAGTGGCTTCTTGCTACGACTGGCTGCTAAAACAGGGCGCTAACACGAAGACGACGTGGAAAAAGATTTGGAGGCTAGACGTTCCAGAGAAAATTAATTTTTTCTGTTGGCTTATTGGGCATCGGTCGCTACCTACGAAGGAGTTGCGTCACCGACGACATCTAGATTCTACGGGGGCTTGTACGATTTGCGGGGATGGAACGGAGACTTGGGTGCACATGTTTTTTGAGTGCCCGTGGACTACTCAGGTTTGGGCCGGGCTAATTCATTACGGTTTTCCTTATCGGCTGACCCATACAATCCCCTTGATAGCCAAGCTCTTGATTTCATCGTTCATGCGCCGGCGGGGTTGCAGTTTGCCCTTTGTTTTATGTGGGTGGAACGCAATAACAGGGTTTTTGGTAAGCCATCTAAATGTCCTTACGCTGTTGTCAGGGATATCTATCCTTCTTCCAATGGTGGCGGGAGACAAGGTGGCGGGCGGACATGCTCATGGATGGGGCTAGTCAAGATAGTTTTTCTAAGACTGTTACTTGGAACCCTTATTTTTGTAAGGGCATGATCTTGCATACTGACGGCTCGTCAATTGGTAATACGGGTCCATCCGGCTTCGGAGCCGTCCTGCGCAATCACGAGGGGGTATGGATCGAGGGGATTTCGGGTAACTTAGGTAATGCCGACAATTCTCTGGCCGAGGTGGTCGCGATTCTCGAAGGGTTAAATTTAGCAGTGGCTCGGAGGTTCACAACTCTCACCTGTTACTCCGACTCGCAAGAGGCTCTCCGGCTGATTCAAAGGGCATCCGTAGTAAATCAGGTTATGGGAGGGATGCTCATGAACATCAGGGACAAGATCAGTTTGATTGGGAATGTGCGGTTTTTCCACATATGGAGAGTAGAAAATTCCGTTGCCGATATCTTGGCTCGGAGAGGAGCCAAGGAAGAAGCGTTCTTTACGCCTTGGGCTTTTCCCCTAGATGATTTACTCACTCCCAGGGGCGAAACCATGTATAGCATTGGAGAGGCGCCGGCCCCTCAAAAAAAAAAAAATTAAATTAGAGGTGGAGGATTTTGCTGGAATTAGAAGATTTTTCTTTGAGCGCACATGTTGAGCCCTCTCCGATTTCATGCGGTACATACATGGCTGGAGGGGCGCCACCGGTTTTGTCGTGAAATTTTTTTTTAAAGGCAAATTGGGCCCTCCCCGAAACGGGATCCTAGTTTCGGGACAAGGAGAACTATAACAGTTGCAGAATTTAATAATTTTTTTCATTTTTATTGTTTTTTGAGTTGGTTAATTAGCCGACTTACGGTGTACCGACGGGACTCAAAAACCGAGTCGATCATTACCAAAAAAATACTTTTATGAAAGTACGGGAAGCGGAGAGTGCGTTGGTGGCATCGATTTATGATTTTGAGGTCCCGATCATTTATTTTGGGTAGCCCGAAGTTGAGAGAAAAATGGCAGTGGCGGTGATTTTATTGTCATTTTCATGTCTAGACTTCGGGTAACCGTCGGCCCTCGTTAGGCCTGCTCAAAATTAGCGGGAGTGCTTTCTTGAAAGTACGAGAACAATAGAAGTCGTTCGTAAAATTTATTTCACTTTTCGAAGTTTCGAGCATTTATTTTGAGAAGCTCGAAGTTGAGTGCGCATAATAGAAGAATAAAAAGCCGTTTTGCGGGGTTCCGTAAGGTTGCGTGTGACCTCGGTTTAACGAGAATCGAGTTGGAGCATGTAGACAATTCAAGCACGATTCCATACGGACAAATTTTGTATTTTTCGGAGTTCCGAGCATTTATTATGGGAGTTTAAATTTCTGCGTTAAATAGTATCAAAAGGAGCAAATTTGTCGAGGACGAGTTCGATCGTTTGAGGCTTCGTTTTCTGAATTTTTTCAGCTTTTCGTCTATTCGAAAGGAGGTATAATTCTTGATTATTATTATAATTGAGTCCGAGATTTTTATTAGTATAAATTCGAGTATTTTTCGAGTTAAAAC